GATAAGAAATCTTACTTTTTATCCTAAGGGGTATGGGATGGAATGTGTATTAAATTTTGGGATAGGGATAAGGATGGAGATTAGCATGATTTTAAATTTTTTATTAGGTATGGGTACGAGGATGGGTAATATAGCTCCCCACCCCGTAACCGTTCTTATATATTTATATATGTTTAATAATTAATCTTTTATTTAATAATATAAGTTTTATTATAGATTAATTAGAACTAATATATTTATATTTAAAAATATATATTTATAAAAAAACTTACATAAATGTGCAAGTTAAAAATAAAAAAGTTTTAAAAAATATTTTTTATTTTTTATTTTTTAAAATGTTACAAATACGAAGATTATTCATACTCATTAAATACTTACAGAGATAGGGATGGGGATGAATTTGAAATATCTGTTGAGTATGGGTATGAAAATGAGTATAATATAAAAAAAATCACATATGAGGATAAAAATGCTCTACTTGTCCTGTATTCTATCTTTTGATATCCCTATAAAGAAAGTAAATCAATCACATGATTGATTAAAGTCTCAAAAGATTCTTGTATTTGTATACAAAAAACTTACCCCCTAAAAACTTTTGTGTCTTGAACTTATATTTTATTTTGTTTTCATTCTGAATTAACTTGTTTTATGCAATTTAATGTTCTTCGTGTTCAAGTCTAACTCTTTATCAATCATAATCATCATTCCAAATTAATTGAAAAAACTAATTTCATTAATCACCTAAGATAAGGAAATCAAAGAACATTTTCAACAAAGGAAACAATTCTTGCTAAAAGGAGATACCTGCTATTGCAAATTGAAAACCTTACCAGATGAAGTTTGTTCTAGACATAGCAAGCAACTATAAGCTACACTACTTCCATATGTTAGTATGCAATAACTAGATAGAGCTTTCATCTTCATTATAGAGATTTTATGCTTTTGGATGTCACATGGTAAATCTAACAAATGAACAAAAAGAGTTTAATTTACAACAAATTCACTTGAAAGCTTATAGTACATGCTTATAGCAACAAGTAGTCTATTGTAAACACCTCAACTATTCACTCTTTAGTGCATTAATTTCAATAAAATCTCATCACAAAAGAATAACAAAGAAGCATTACCTTGTAAACCTTCCTAGCACCTTTAAAGGTCACCTTCCCTTTTCCAAGTTGATAATTTTTAAACTTTGTTGTGATCTATATATCATTGGATTGGTGATGTAATGGTTGGTTCCTATCATATAATGCTTGCTTCAATTTATTGGACAAAGGGTACTAAGATATCTAGCAATTTCCTTCTTAAATACTTGAAACATTGTAACTATTCAAAATAGATGAATAATAAAAACCCCAACACCTATGTTGTTTGCAGCATGTATTTTGTTTCCAGTGTGTGAAATGTTTATATTCAATTATGTTTCAAAAAATAGATTGCAAATAAATGTCATTTGACTCAACCCTATTGACTTATAATTGTTGAAGCATGGCAATAGCTTACAAAAACCTTTGATTGCCAAAAAATAGTTGAAAACTAAGAATAATCGATTTATATCAACATAAAATTTCAGTGATTAAATTGGGAATGTCCATATGTGGCGAAAAAAACTTTTTCATGGTGCATTAATTCTAACAGAGATGAATGTTGGTAATTTACCAAACTACTAAATTCAAATGTTGTGAAAAATATTTTGTTTGAAAGAAAAAAATAAAGAAGAAAAAAAAAAGGAAGACTTAAATTAAAAACTCAAAAATGGCAGTTTGAGTCAAAATAAGGTATCTAAGTTGAAAACCTAAAAGAGTGGTTTGGATATAAGAATGGAACAACATCAACCAGAGATCTCATAAAACAGAGGCAAAGTTTGGTTTCAAAATAATCAAGATTATTGATAAATAAGTTTTTGAGAAATAATTTTGGTTAGTTTGTTCAAAATTGTTTGAATGCTCGTTACTTGGATTTTTATACCCTATTCAAATATTGAGATTGGTCATTTTTTTCTTAGCAAATTTGCTTCTTCCAATAATAAATATCATTTTCGTAGTTTATCTTACTTGATTCTTTCATTTTGATAGAAATGACGTGTGATTGCATTGTGTTTATTGTGACATTAGAATAATGATGAATAAATAAATGAAATAAATTCATAAAAGATCTCTGCTTTGAAAAGAAGTTTGAGAATAGGAAAAGTTAATAGGGAATGATGAGAAAAACATGTAAGGATGTTGATCCTCAATGGTTGATAATAAAACACTTGGGATTTAGATAATGAAATTAATAGAAGTTGTGAAATTGACCAATTGATAAAATTGTTAAAGCTTGAAAGAAATAAGTGTTGAGAAACTGAAGAAGATGAGAATATATGGAAAGATCTTTGAAAACCTTTTTGTCTAATCATAATTAAGGAGATATAATATTGGTTTTATTTCATTACATGCCCTACATCATATTCATTACATTCATTGCATGTTTCGAAAAAAAAAATGGAAAAGTAGATTTTGAATTTTGAAATTGAGATAGGAGTTAAGATTTTTTGAAAGTAGGAATTTTCATTACATTGCATACACTCAAAAAATAAAAATGAAAAGTTAGATTTTTGAAGTTGGAATGAGTTGACAATTTCTAATAGGAGAATTTTGAACATTTGTTGAAGATAGTTTTTAAAGATGAGATTGCAAGAAAAGTTGTCAAATTGAAAGTAATCTTTTCAAAGATAAGATTTAGTTTTAATTTTTAAAGTTTAGCACTTTTGTTGGAGAAGAGCTTTTCGATTTTAAATTTTTAAAATTTCAATACCTATATTAGGCAAGAGCTTTTCGAATGCCTTTATTGGGGAGTAGCTTTTCAATTTTGAATTTTTAAACTTTCAACTCCTTTGTTGAGAAAAAACTTTTTAGTTTTGAATTTTTAAAGTTTCAATACCTCTGTTGAAGACAAGCCTTTAAAATTTTTCTTAAAGATATTTCTTGACCTTAATAATATGTATGTCTTATGTATTTGTACAATTTTTGTTTCTCCAAAAATGTGAAAAGAAGAACAATTATAGACATTTTATTTTGTTTGAGGATTTTTTTATATTAATAGGCCTTGAATTTCATTTCGATAATTGGGTTTTAAAATAGTTCAATTGTTCTTATATTGGGCTTTGATTATGAAATTGGACTTTTAAACCCAAACAAAAAGGCTAAAAAGTTTTATGCATCCTTTTTCTTTTTCTTTTATATTTTTGTTTATTTCTTTAATTTATTTTTATTTGTTAGTCAAAGTAAATAAAAAATAAAAAAGGGAAAAACCAAAATTAAAATATGAATTTTTTAAAAAAATTTTGATTTTATTTAGATTTGAAATTAAAATGTGAATTATTGAGCATCAATTCACTAAAATGAAAAAGAACTTTTGCAAGTGTTAAAACTAGATCTTGATAGATTTAGTTGACATTAATTTTTTTTCAAATTGAATTGGGACTTTGATCCTTATATAAAGAGCTTGATATTAAGCTTAAGAATACACAAAATAGCAAATAGCAACAATCAATCGATAGGAGTTAAAAGCAAACATTGAGCAATTAAAGAGACATATTTTTGGGTTTTGAAATTTTGTTCAAATTTTTTGAGCTTTGGCTTTGATTTGAAATTTAAAATTTAGTTTTTAAGATAGAAGGTTGTTTGGATTGGTTTTGATTTGTTTGGATTAAAATTCAAGCTATATTCTCGGAATTTTGTTTTAAATTTTTTTGAGGTTTTTTGGAAATCTTGGACCTTTTAAACAATTTTGGGATTTTGTAGATATTTCTAGGTATGATTTTAATTTTTTTTTGGCATGAAGCATAATAATCAGAAGAATTCACGATAAATGGTTTCTATATTTCATGGTAATTTTTGGGGTTGTTTGAATTTTTTAATAAGCATTGAATTTTTCAATGATCGATTTGTAAGAATAATGCCAGAATTTAAGTTTTCTTTCATGTTTTTTATATTGGATCTTAAGTTTTAGGAAGAAAAAGAGAGAGAGAAAAAAAAAAGAGAAAACAGAAGAAAAAAAACTTGAAAAACAAAAAAAAAAATTTATACTTTTATAATTGAAGCCAAATGATAGCATTTTAGAGGGGAAGATCCACACTTTATCTTATAAGGATTCGTGTGTTATCTTATTTGGATTCGTGTGTTATCTTATTTTCTGATTTGACTTAATTGTATGTTTTTATTTTATTTTTTATTTTTATATTTTTAATTCTATTTTTATTTTTAATTCTTTTCTCTTTTAAATCTATTTTCTTCTTAATTTTGATTTTGATTTAATAGGAAAATAATAATGAAATAAGAAAAAAAAGAAATTTTGATGTAAGTTTTGATAGTGTGAATTTTAAATTTGTAACATATTTTGTATAATTATTTTGTATGATTATTGTTTGATATTTGAAATAAAATAATTTATTTTTTATAAAATATTTAATAAATTTAACGATAGAGTGCCTTTTCAAGGAAATGACATTTTTTTAAAAATACTTTTAAAGTAAAGAAACCTTTTAAAAAAAAATTTTAATATTAAAATATTAAAATTAATGAAAATAAGGATAAAATTCATTTTTAATTAAGGCTTAGACAAAATAACATAAGATTAATGTAATAACAATTTATGGATGATTTGGGCTACTAAAATTTTTTTTAAACGTAATTAACTCTCGAATCTAATTTTGAAAATGTAAATCAGAATCTGTTCTTTTTAGATTCTTAATCAAATTTAAAATAACCTTAAAAAAATAAATTTATTTAAATAATTAATCATATTTAAATAAAAAATATTGATAATAATTTTATTATTTTTTGTGTCTTAGGACTTGGATATTATAATAATTGCATGAATCAATGAAACTAAATTAAGATTCTTAGATCACTTATTTTAATATTTAAAAAACAAATAAAGTTATAATAATCACATTTAATAAGGAAATATATATTATATAAAAATATTGATAGGCGGTTAATTAACAAGTACCAAGATCTTTTTTTGTTTTTTTATATGGAATCAAACTCACAAACAGAAGTTAAAAAAAAAAAAAAAAACACACCCACAAACAGAAGCCTCTATGCTTTGACTGTTGGGTGAAGTTTATATTGAAGAGAATATGAAATTTTTTAGGACAACGTACAATGCCTTAGCCTTAGAGGGATTAAAAACTTCGAGCCCATGGCAACCTCCTTCAACAATACGACATACCACTTCAATTTCCTTCTTCTGCATCATCTTCACCAACTCAATTTGACGGTCTATCAATTGATCCCCATCGCACCCCGAAACAAATACCCTCCATCCTACCCGTTTGATCTTCTCCAAAGCAGTAGAGCCATTGCCTACCGTCGGATTGCAATACTCATGGTCACGGTCATTGCCAATAGGCAAGGACAACTCCCACATTAAGTCACTTACACATGGAGGAAACAAGGGATCCTCGATTGATCTTAACTCTGATCCAGTCCTTTCGACCCCACCAAAGAAAGGTTGGTGCAATATTAGTCCTTTGATCTTCAATGGCAGAAGATTGTCAGCTTGTTCGGCTGCACGCAGTCCTAAATGATATGCAATGTTACCCCCTGCGCTACCACCCATCAGGAAGATCTTGGAGTAATCAGCATAATTTTCCAACCAATTTTCATGACTGGTTTTGATCCAGGACAAGGCTTCCATGGCATCATCATATGCCGCTGGCAACCGATGCTCGGGAGCCAGGCGGTAGCTAGCTGATACAATGATAACAGAGAGTTCAGTAGCCATGTTGGAACAAAATTCATGACTCATGGTTTCATCTGGACTGAGAAGAATGAACCCTCCACCATGGAAGTAGACAAAAACTGGCAGCTTTTCAGCAGATGTGGGCATGTCAAGTGCTTGCTTGGGTAAGAAAATTCTAGCCCAAGTATTGTTTGATTTGTTGATTGAGATGTCCTTGGTGAGAACTGCTGTCTTCGAGTCACTGGAAAATTCTGGTTGGGCCGAAGTTGTTCCAGAATTGTTGAAGCGAGTCAACGTGCCATCGGGATTAAGGGTGATCTGAAGGTGTTTGTATGGATCAGAAATGGAACTCAAAGGAATAGCATCAGCCATAATTTTCAGAATCCGATGGGAGAATGAAGCATTCAACTTAGAGTTGGCATTAGGCACCCCTTTTTGATTCCCCGTTAGGTTGTCTTATAGATACTCTAAAAAGCAATTGTAGGTGAGTGACATTGCGTGGCTTACAATTTTGCTAGAAAAGAAAAGGAAGATTGTGATTTGTAAACGATTAAATAAACGTTAAATACTCCACCTACCTTTGTTCATGATATATGTTTGACCTGTTAATTTAAAATAAAAAAATAAATAATATGATACAAAAATAATATAAAAAATATATTTAATATGAATTAAAATTTTAATAAAATTTATATATAAATTTAAAAAATAAAAAATATATTTCATATTTATATATTAACAAAAATGATGACATACAATTTTTATATAAAATATAATATAAATATATAAATTATTAATATTTTATATGATACAAAATCTTGATTGACCAAATATATATAATATAAAAAAATTATTTGATATGAAAACCGCATTGCCTTCGTGGCCAATGTGATATGAATTAAAAAGAAATATGAGTAAATGCAAAATTATACTCTTTTCGTCACTTTTTTTTATATCCTATAATTAAATCTTTTTTATTTTTATATTTTTGCTTTTTATATTTGAATTTTATTTTTTATTTTTGATAATAAAAATTATGATACATCAATATTATAAAAACTAAATTGATAATATTAACTATATAAAAATAAATTTTTTAAACATATATGAAAGTAAAAAAAAAAATGATATGAAAGGAGTATAATGTATGATAATTCAACATTAATTTTGGGCTGACAGGGTGGGTCGGAAGGCCTTGATCAAGCGTGACATATATTACGTACATAATATATATTAATTACTTATTTCTTTCTAAAATATTAGTCATTTTTTCTTTAAAAAACTACAAATGCATAATTTAAAAATTATTTTCCAAAACCCATTTTAAATTTTATAATAATTAAAAGGACACGTGATAATATTCTAATAAAGTTGTGAAATTTTTTAAAAAAAGTTATTTCGAAGTAAACAATAATCCATAATTATTAAATAAATATATGATAGAATTATTATCCAAAGTTAGAGTTTTTTTAACTACGGATTTTAAAAAGTTAATATTTATTCACGTAAAAAAATTTTAAATTAATTATTTAATTATTAACTAAACATATGACAATTATATATATATATAAATTTCTATATATTAAATTAAAAACCACTTCGTTGATGTATAAAATAATAATTTCATATGATAAGTATATACTTATGAACCCTTTTTATATAAAATAATAATCCAAATTCTAATTATTTTTAAAATTATTCATAAACCAAACTCGAATTGAATCTCTCAAACATTTTTCTCTTGTTCATTTACACCTTATTTTATTATTAAAATAATAAAATATTATTTTATAAAAAATTATTTCATTCATTATCAGTAAAATTTTTAAGTTTTATAAAAGAAATTATTAGAGTGATACATATCCTTAGAATATATTTATTATGGGTGAAAAAATAAAAATACTAAAAATCAGTTTGAAATCATAGTGTTTTGATTGGATTTAATCGATTTTTTTGTTATTTGATTTGGATTAAGTTATGATATTATATGTATATTAAGTTTCGATCAAATTTTATATCAAAAGATAAAAAATCAAAAATTTCAAATCAAATCGAATTATATATTTTTATTAGTTTTTATTATTTTTAAAATTTTTGTAAAATAAAAATAGTAATTTTATATCAAAATATATTAAAATATATTAAAATTTTATATTTAAAAATAAAAAAATAAATTTCAAAAACTAATAAACCGAACAGGTAAATTTTGATTTGTTTTTTATCGATTTCGTTCAAATTAGATTGTATGAAACATTACTTCGAATTCAAATTGAATTTTTAAAATTCATAAAATATATAATATCTAAAAAAAATCGAATTAAATTCGATATGATCTGAATTATTATGATCCTTAATATTTATAAAATTAAAAAATTCATTAAAAAAATGTGTATTAATTTTTTAATCTCGTTTGTATAATTAAAAATTTATACTAAAAATATATGAAATATTAATTCTTTATTTATTATTTTTAAATGTAATTTGAAATTAAAAATAAAAATATATTATATATAACCAAATTGTTTGAGTATTAACAAATGAGAAATTATTTGATATACATTAAAATTTTTTTAATTTCACAAACGAAATTAAAAAACTAATATACAAAGAAGAATTTATCTTATGAAAAGATATTTATGGACACCCTTCAAATATTGAAAATTAATAAAATTTATAAGAAATTTTTTTTGTAAAACCATTCAAAATTTTTCATAACAACTCTAAAGATTTAAAAATAAAAAAAAATAAAAAAATATTATTTTTATCAATAAAATTAATAAATTCATCAAAAATTATATATATTATAAGTGAATATCTTTAAAAAAAATTAAATTCATTACTACTTACATATATCTTAATTTTTTAATTTTTTAATATATCTAAAAGATACGTACTATTTTTATTAGTCTGAAATTAAAAAATTCCTCTCTCAATTACTTACCGTTTTTCTAAACAATAATCCGTAAACACGTTTAGATGCCATAATAACCAAATTACACTCGCAACTGAACACAAAAACCCCACACGAGCTAGGGTTTCCAAAGCGTAGGCCTTTAAATACCGAACGAAGCCCTTCTAATTGTTAAGGGAACTCTCCTTTACAAAGAAATCGTCGACAAACCGTAAAAGAAAGCGTCAATCCCAAGATGAGAGCCAAGGTAAATCCTTGAACATCTTCGATTAATCTTGCATATTGATGTTTTTTTTCTGTTTTCTTCTCCATTTGAAAATAATTTGTTTTTACTCTTTAATTTTTTACAATGTATTTCGTAGAATTTTAGCTATGGTTCATCGATTGGCAAGTCGGTTGTGTTTTGGTTGCCTTTATAGCTGACTAAGATGAAAATATCAGTATGGAAAATGAGTGAGATGAAATGTATTGAGGGTGATTAATTTGTTAGCCTAGAGCTGTGTTTTTTTTTCATTCAGTTAACTTTGGTTTTGGTTCTAGTTTGTGGTGGGGAGATTGAAATCTGCTTTACAATGCCAAGCTAAATTCCCTGAAGAAATTCTTCCCGTAAACATTAATCACAACTTCTTGTGGGGATTTGAATAAATCTTTGCTTAATTCGCTTGAACGGATGGGTTGTAATTAGGTTGATCGAGGGTATACGACTGTTGTTTTACTTGTCACACTTAACAGACTCAAATGAATTATACATTAAAGTTTGTATTGAGAGATAGGCTTGATATTTGGTCGACATAAAAATAGAAATATTAAATATTAATATTATATATATATATATATATATATATACATATATATTGTGATTGTGTCATCGTGTGAAAGAAAATTGACTGATCCTTTTTTCTTCTAACTTTGAAAGTATCAATAGATATTATCACAGAACTGATGCTACAAATCAATTAATCAAGTTCATTTTTCAAATACATAATCGGAAAAAGTCATTGATTTGTTATCATTTATATTTATACGAACAAAATATTATGATGAGTAAGAATTCAAGGGGGTGTTGATTACCCACATTAATAATTTCATGGTTATATGACCTAAAATGAAACATTAACAGTTTAGATTATTATGCTGTATGAGCCATTTGAAACAAAAGTCAACTATGTTACTTGTCTTTAATTGGGCATATTTTCTCTATTATGATTAATTTGATTTTTGTTCTTATGCTTTTCAGTGGAAGAAGAAACGCATGAGAAGGCTGAAGAGGAAGCGCCGAAAGATGAGGCAGAGATCAAAGTAGGTGCTTCCCTTGTCTTCACGATCATCCAGCATATGTTTGCATGAAGTTCTGAAGATAGGAGGATGTGTTCTCGGGCAAACTTATCTTTTCTGTCTTCTAATTCTAATTTAAGTTTTAAGACTGTTTGAGATGTTGTCTAGTACTAGTGGATATTATGTTGGAATTTTATGGTTTGAGCTATGTAGACTATTTATCTTTAACATGCTTCCTAAAAGTTTGAAATTGTAAACTCTATGGTCTTTGTCTAATATTAGATAATTGTTCATGCTACCATGGTCTACTATGTGAGATAGATTGTTGTCCCATATTCTTCACATTCAGGATAGATTTTATTTTAACTTGATCAACCTGCGATCAGTTCTCTCGGATTTCTTTGGCTTTGCTTATTCGATTTACAGGACTCCCATTTTTTATCATCTAGTCTCTTGCCCATGTTTGTGGTGGAAATTGTAACCAAAATGTGACTCGCCCCTGCTGTTAAAATTTGAAAATTGTGGTTGAGAGGGGTGTGGTTTGTTGGTAAATTGTTGGTAGACACTGATTTATGAGTATGAGAAAGGATTAGTTGACAAAAAAGTAGATTTAAAGATTGTGTGTTTGTGTTTGTTTCATGTAAATTATATATAAAATACGAAAATTATTTTTATAATTCGTGTTATGTGAAATACGAAATATATTTTTAAATTTTATTAAATTTATATATAATTTTTGTCAATTTTAAACAATGGCTTCATTTTTTTTTTTATTGTATAAAATTATTAGCTTTACTAAAGCTGCCAAATGAGTCTTTTATTAAATGCCTTTTGCGAGGAACTAATTGATCATGTCATATCAACCATAATAATCAACTTGTACATAAAAAAGAAATGCTCTACAAGTGAACAGGATTTACAACAAAACATTAACCAGCTCAAGCAACTGAAAAACCCCAAAGTTTGAGTCCTTGTGCTTGAACTTGATTCATGCTCACTCCGGTTCCAAAATTTGGTTACAGTGACAATTTTCCATGGTTCATAACAAAAATCATGCTTTTGGAATCAATTTTGCAAAAGTCTATATTTTGGAATCTAAAAAGTCTATAGCAGAAAGGTTGTATTGCATAACAAGTCTTTCTACAGCATGTTGACTCACAACTTCTCTCATATGCAACTCCTTCAGTACTTGTGCTGCCAGCTCCATTTTTCCTTCATGAGCAATCCCCTCCACAAGAATAACGTAAGTTGTCTCATTAGGCATATAGCCTTTCTTGATCATCATCTCGAAAAGCTTCAAGGACAAATCAGTTCTCTGGGATTTGCAAAATCCTAATAAAAGTGCATTTATATTGTCAATATCAGGCCTATAGTTGCTTTCCTCCATTATTATGAAAATTTCCATTGCCACTTGCAGCATTCCCTTCATGCACAATCCTCTGATTAGCGAGGAATAGGTGTGAGAGTCAGGAGTGAATCCAGACTTAGTCATTTCATATAAAAGCTGAAATGCTGGATATGTGTTTCCTTTTCTGCATAAACTAGAAATTACACTCTTGTAGAAATCATGTGGTGAGGAACTTCGTTTGCTTCCCAAGCTTTGAAATATGGAGAATGCCTCTTGCACCATTCCCTGCTCACAAAGCACAGCAATAGCATTATACGTTCCTTCATTAGGTTCACAACGTCCATAGATCATCTGATCTAGACACTTAACCACAAGATCCACCTTCTCGTCTTGGCAAAGACGAGCAATTATCGGATTATAGCTTGTAGCTGTGACCTTGAAATGTCCTCTAATCATTTCATTGATAACATCCAGAGCATTTTCAGTCCTGCCATGGAGTGCAAGAGAACCAATCAATATGTTGTAAGTAACTACAGAAGGAGAACAATCCTCACCATTCATCTCTGCCAAAAGCTCATTTACTTCCTTCCACCGTCCCTCATAGCACAAATTCCTTAGCACTATGTTATAGCTCACAACATTTGGATTAAATCCTTTTGCAGGCAAATCCCTGAAGAACTCAATTGCCTCATCAGTCCTACCTTCCTTACACAACCCAGTCAACAAAACATTGTAACTAACCAAATTAGGCATCCCACCTCTGGCAATAATCTCATCCCAAAGCTTCATTGCCTCATTTACTCCTTTTTCCTTATAAGCAACTTCAAGCAAGGAAGAATAAGTGAATTCATTGGGAACTAGTCCTCTTTGTATTAACTTCTCCAACAGCTGCATACTTTGCTTCAAGTTTCCATGCACACAAAGCCCTTTAAGTAGAGAATTATAAATAATACTGTTAGTTGGATAACCATGACCCTCCATCTTTTCCACCAACTGCATCGCATGTCCAACATTTCCTCTTTTACACAAATAATTCACCAAGAAATTATAAGAAGCTCCATCAGGTATAATACCAGAATCAACTATCATCTCCATCACTCGAAATGACTTTTTCATCTTATTAACCTTGCACAAATCATACATCAATTGTGTAGCTTGAGCTACATCAGGCTTCTGTCCCTTCCCCACCATATATTCCATGTGACAAAAAGCATTAGTTAGCCTGAGTTCCCTACTTTTAGTGTCATTCTTCCCTGTCTTCCAATTTGGTAAAGTAAAAACAGAGTCTTTAGCAGAAATTGTGTTCTGGGTAGTTGCTAAAACCCTGGTAAAACCATTGTTGAGTGAAAAAGAATGAAGGTTTGAGATTTGGTAAAAGAAACCAGATGGTTTCCTTGTTGTTTCAGGTGATGGGTTTGTCATAGAAGACATTGAGTTGAGTAAAGTTGCCATGAACCCAAGAAAAAAAAAAAAAAAAAGAGAAGTATATAGAAATGTTGAAGAAAAACCTAATTCGAACCTGGAGATTAACTGAAATAGTTTAGGCAGCAACCGTTAAGAGTGGCATCAAACAGGTCTGAAACACGAATTTTAACATCTGCAATCACTTCTCTTTATTATCAGGCTTTGGCTTCCTATATATGTTTTAAAAAAAAAAAAGTAAAAGCCTAATTCAGTTCCTTAATGGTTGATTAGGAAAAAGAAAAAAGAAAGTGATGATTCTAATTTCTAGCAAATACTTTGAATGTCATTACACAAAATGAAGAGAGAAAGAAGGATGAACATACATATAATTTGGTTGAGTGGCCTTTGGATTGAAGATTGATGGCCTTTCTTCAAACAAGAGAGCTTTCTCGTAATTTTATTTTCGTTTGGTTGGGGGACGAGGGAGACTTTGCTCATCTCCTGCCCACTCGCTCTTTACCTGGTTATCCAACTGGTCACAAATTGATAGTCGCCTACGCGCTGCTCACTAGTCTGCAGGCCACGCTCGTGGTTTGGTTTGCTCACGTAAGCTCATCTAAATTTATTTTATTTAAAATTAGCATTAAAATAAATTATTTTTATATTAATTATTTTAAAAAAATTAAATTTAAATAAAATAATTATTTTATAATAAAATATTTTCACCGAACCAATCGAATTATGCCTTGAGCAACTTGGTTCATGAACATGTTTAATTACAACATTTGTTTTTTAATTTTTTAGAGAGACATGCATTTTGGATAGAGTTAATCATGGTTATAATTTATAATACTTGAATTCAATTACTCAAGCCTTTTTATTGCAAAATAAAAATTGAACTAATCCATTAAACTAAACTAATCGGTGTTAAAATTACTTTCTGATTAAGCAACTTGATATATTTATAAAAATAAGAAAAAAATTCCATAAAAATTAATTTGAAAATTATATTAATATCTGTTAATAAGATACATAATTGTATTTTTCTAATTTGGTTTTGCTATCATAAGGACAATCTAGAGTAATAAGCTAAAACTATTTCCATAACTCTCCCTTGAGAATTTTTTTTTTAAGAAAAAATTACAAGGTAAATAAATTATTTAATTTTATAAATTAAAATAAAATATATCATATCTGATAATTTAAGATAAATAAATGTAAATCGTATATCTAAAATGATCTCAACAAATAACAATAAATAAAACTCAAATACAAAATCTTTTCATAAAAAAAAAAAAACATTAATCAATTGAATCAAATATTTACCATATTCTTTTTCCTCTTTTCGTTCTTTTGGTTTTGTCTAGCTATTCATAGGTATTTGGGCTTGTTTTATTTGAGAATATGATATTGAACTCACTTCTGCCAACGAGTAGAGTGAACCTCCTCCCATTATATACTGTGAAATTTTATACACGATAACACATCAACAAAAAACAATACGAAAAAAGAGTCATAAATAAATTTAATAAAATAAAAAATATATATTGCATGATAAATTATGACATAATAATTTTTATATTTTACACATTTTATTATGAGACGACATTAATACACAATTGCTAAACTGCACCTGAATGTTAACAGAAAACGCCCAAACAAAATAAAGGGTAAATCATTCCTTTAACCCTATAACTTCAAATGACATATAACCACTTTTAGTTCAGGGGCAGCAAGTGAAGGCTCAAAGGAGATAGGCCTTGACATCAATACCCAATGCCCAAAATGCCAGCACTGAGATAGGAACAGTCTTTCTTTGATAAATGAAAAGACCTTAAAAACAATAACTTTGCGGAAAGAAACAAAACGATCAAATCAAAGGCAAACACGTTACCAAATATTAAAGCAAATTTCAAGCCATTTTAGCTCAAAAGCAACTCTCTGGAGACCCTCCAGCAAGCCTACAAGAAACGATCTTCATGCTTTATCATGTGTACTGCTATATGTACACACTGAACTATTCAACAGGAACTGGACCATGATCCATTCCCACCTCCTGGAAAATAATAGTCAGAACGCGGGAAATCTTCTGTACTGAACCCGATACTTACTATCCCACTACATCTCCATACCAGAAATTTCACTACAGAGCATCAAAATAAGCTCCAATGAACGGAAAGGACACAAGGAAATGAAAATATCATAGCTCGGTTCTATCATAATAATACACATAGGCCCACTTAAATGTTATGGTAAAGGAAGCAGCATGTTATTAAAGATAAACATATCAACTGGTAAAACTAAAATCTGAAAGGGGCTAAATCGACCTTTACTTTAAATATCCTTGGAGCTTCACCTGAACCATTGAGGGTGCTCCATCATAGTTATAACGGTGAAGTGGTATAGCTAATTGCATTCCATCAGCACATGGCATCACTTGCTCCATATTGTACTTCAACATGGTTGTCTCAAACACGTATCAATTTAAACGTCTCCTAGCTACCACTTTTTTATCATGACTGTCCTACAAGCATAGACAGCTGAGA